GATGTCTCTCCTTATGCTTAAAATTTGTGTTTGCTAAAAATAAACGATTGTCTGAGCGTAGCTGCAGCAGACGATCACCATTATCTGTTCGCTGTGTCGGAATACTAAAATATCCACCTAAATGTCTTTCTGTTTGGTTTAAACTGCCTATCTGAGCATTAAAATCACCTGCTACGAGTACTATGTCTGAGCGTTTAGCTTTCTGAAGAAGTTCGGACAGCTTTCTGTAAAATTCATCTTTCAATTCATCTGAGCTGCAGTCAGTGGGAGCGTAGGCAGAAACGACAAAAAGGCAACGACGTGTGTCCCTGTCCTTCCGAGTTCTTACGTAGCCATTCAGCCGAACAGCACATAGACGACTGTTGACGGGGATCCACTCTAGCAGTGCTTGTTCCGCCCTCATGCTTAGTGCTATGCCTACACCTGCCAGTCCACGAGAACTTGCCATCGGGTCACCAGATACACGAAGGGTGTATCTCGTTGGCTCTCCGTTTTGCCGAGGTGAGGTCAAGTGAATAACCACACTGGAATCCTGTATGCGTGTTTCGGGGACACAGCACACGTCAATGGTAAGAGACTCTAGGGTTTTAGCCAAGGAAGCCTGCTGACCGATTTGACATAGAGTGCGTACGTTAAAAGCTCCAATGTGTAGTTTGGAGCGAGGTTTCAGTAGACCTGGGACAGAGTTTTGAGCACTAGAATCGTTGGCTATGGTGACACTTGGGGAGGAAGCCGAAAGAGGAAGTTTAGAGTTGAAAGTCGATGTAGGAGGAATAATAGGAATTGAAGAGGAAGGTTGATTATGAATACAGTGGTCTTGGATGCTGTTAAAGGTATGAGGGCGGTTATCACTTCCCGGTTGCCCACACCGAGGAAGGGGATCAGGGATGAAAACGTCATAGTTGCAAATAGTCTACTTACTTTTGGACGATTTCATTTACACAAACTTCAAAGAAAAAATCTTTAAAGCTTGAAAGATAAGAAGACGGTAAAAGTGGAAGCGATGCATGGTTATGCATTTAGTAACGTTTTCAAGGTCTTCCAATAATTTAGGATACTTTAATCAATAATCCAACAAGCATGACACAAAATGGCTCCAATTACCAACAACAACAAGACTTGTTGATGACCCTTAAGATCCGTGACAATAATCCAGTTTGCGCTGTAATTTTTCCATTAAATAATGACATCTTCCATTATAATCAGTGTATTTTGTTGACTAATCTAGTCACTAACAACTAACATGTAGTTGGATTTCTATACACCTCTTTCGGCTTTTATACTATACATTTAGACAGAACAAGAAAATCGCAAGTCTACACACTATCGAATGGTTTCTTACATATTTGAACACATCCTGATCTAATCCCTTATGATAACTAATAAGACCATTGTATTCGAAAACTATTTAAAACGAAGGAGAGATTGTGACCTGAAATAATATATAGTCAAGGACATTAACAATCTTTTATATAAAAAGTGATATAAAATCAATCAGTTTTAATATTAAACTGAACAAAAAATAGATGTATGTTCACGAATGATAAAAAACTAGTACATAATTAAAGTACTTTAAGAGGAGAGCAAAGACTTGCCATTAAAAAAAACACTAGTAAGTACAATAATTAATAATTGTTACCGTGAAATAATAGAAACAGATGAGCTGTCCGTGCATGATCCCCGAAAGACTAGTCAAAATCACAGCTATGAATAAATGTGTTTATACAAATTATTATTAGTGAGTATGATTTATCTGTCACTTAAATTGAAATAAGTGTCTGTTAGGAAGTTTCAAGGGAAAACAAATACTATCAGCCAACTTAGCTAGAAGGTAATAAATCACTTAGGAAATCCGTAGTCTTCAAATACTTGCTAACATACGGATAATAACGATGATTTTCGTACATGAAAAGACACGGATGCAAAAAGTGAGTAAAAAAGACTTTCATAAAACAAATAAGATAAAAAGACGTATTATTCATTAGGCTTGAAAAAAGTGTTTGTAGAAGCAGTTGAAGAAATTTTGAAGGGTTGGCCTGTTTAGAACTCTTCAAACAAACACCTAAAGCTCGGGACTCCAAAAATAATTCATATTTTTAAGTGGATGAAAAACAAATTTTGCACATATTCACAATAAGTTTGAAGACAAAAAACCAACCTACTCTTGATGCTTTTCTTGTTAAGATATCTTTTCAGTTTGATTTCAGTTATGTCACAGAAGAGAAAGAGAGAAACGTTATTTGCATACAACGTACCAATGAAAAATATATGGTTCATAGAAGCATTACATGAAGGTAACCCAAAAGGGTAAAAACTATAGATTTACAATACTAAAATCAAAAAATGGAATGAAATTAAACGGATGTCAAAGAATGATATTAGTGGATGGTACATATTTGAATCGAACGACAGTAAAAATGAATAATTTCGCTTGCTGGAATGATAATGGGGTAAAACACGACATTAAGAAGTATTTTTCAACTTTCGTATATAACCGGATGATTTTAAACTGTTTAGGATATCATTATTATCTAAAGAGTTTGCTGATTCCGAAAGTAACTCTTGATGTAGGCAACTTACTGCTTCCAAAATTCGATCTGGCAAATGATGACTCAACATTTTCGGGTGGATTAGAATCGTTTGAAATTGTTGTGGGTTCGACCAGACACCAACTATCGTTTTCTCCAATTTACGAGGTTTAACACAACTAGAAGGACACCGAATGAAATAAAAAAACACAGGAGGAGCAATGAGACATCTCAAAGATAAGGCGCTAATGAAGAAATGATTCATGTATACTTGAATATGGCTATAAGAAGCTTAAACAAAAATGGTGATCGTAGTACACACTCTGAAATAGTGAGAATTGATTTTTAGGCGAATCCTGATTACATTTAGTGCATCGTTGATTATATGTCGAAATTCCTCGTCATCTTACTTAATAACAATATAATCAAAAGTAAACAGATCTTGGTCTTACCTTTAATAATCATTTGGTTGGAAGGTGAGCGATTGTTGTCAATCAGAAGTAATGAGTAGCACTGCGTAAGTGCTAAATACATCCTGTTCAAATCTTAAAAAATACACTATGGTTCAGTCTGTTAATGGACAGTCAAACAATTTTTTATTGCACATTATAATGGTTTTGTGAACCAAAAGTACGGAACATCAAAATCGAGAATTTGACTTCATATATGTCTTCAAGACATAAGACCTTTTACCAATTCTTGACAATAGGTCACATTGAGAACTAACACCAAGTTCGAAGATTGAGATATAACTGAATGAAAATATACTTAATATTAAGGCCTTGAATAAATGATTATTCTATTGTCCGAAGAGCTTATACCCAATTATCCTTTACACACAAGTACTATCGTTATTAAGGGGGAAAATTTAGGCAAACAATGGATACACGTAGGTCCAATATATATATATATATATATATATATATATATATATATATATATAGGATATCAACTGAAAGTATTTGCAGGCCGTTGTAGCATCTATATTTACTAAACCAGATAATCTTAGAGATATGCACAGATAGCTATAGAAAATCGCTGGGATGATTAAGCAAATTAAATGCAGTGAAAATTAGGAAAGAACGTGGTGTGAAATATATGTTAAAACTGACATATAACAAGATGAATTATAGTAAATAATTCAAATAAGACGTTACCAGATAGTTGGTTATTTAGATCATTAATTCACTATTTTGCATATAAAACATTATTTTATGAACGAACCAATCAAATTTTAAATAGCAGGTCTTGAATTTCGGCGTGAAATTCATTCACTCATTTGGTAAAATATCATTTTGGTATTGTTGCTGACGTCAGATAGTGATGAAAACATTAAATCTAGTTCCTAACCCTAACGTTCAACTGTAAATCCTAATTTCTTACACTAATCTATAACCCTTATTTGGCCCTAGTAAGTGGGTAGACATTCCAAGGTCATTTTAACGCTGTTCAAATGTCGTCCATCAATCATAGTCTCACTAAAACATGAGAAAATTGCTTATTATTATTACCTAAAATTTTGAGCAACTGGAAGATGTTAAAATTGTACTCTTGAATTCTTTGCATGGCTAACGATGAAATGAAAAATTGTGATAAAAATAAACCTACTTACAAGACAATTTCAAGTTAACATGAATTAAAAAGAGGACTTGAGCTACAATTTATCAACGAAATAGTATTTCTATTATAAATACACTTTAATTATTGATAATGAAGTTTGCCTTAAGTCTATTTTAAAGTTTTCTAACAATACTTAATAGAAAAGTAGCATCAGAATTGTTCGGGGACAGAGTAGATTGAAATATTCGAATCCTTTTTAATATAATATATAAGAGCGAAGATTTAGCAGATAAGGCATTCAAATTAAATACACTATATTCTAGATTTCAAACCCGCTTTATTTACGGGGTGGAGTGACAAATTATGATTGGCTGTCACATATTAATTACAGTCGAAAGTCCGATATTGTGTCCGGCTTTTGAGACGTAGTCTCTGAGTTGAAGATGTTGAGTGATTCTCTGTGTTTGATCATTCTTATCTGCAACGGATTGTTGAGATGTAGTGGGAATACTTTGCTAGTAATGTGGAAGTTTAGTGACATGTGTTCGAGTACAACGAATATAATCCAGTTGGTGTCACCATCTTGTAACACTGATGTCGGTGGCTTAGACGTCCACTATGAATGTCATCCCAGCGAATTCCACATCGTCCCTTGTTTGCCGATACTGCGACTAATTAGAAAAAGAGGAAGTGGTCAGTATATGAGACGATACCATGGTATCAGTCAGTCACGAAGTAGAATTTGTACTGATGTATATCGGTTCAAGTTGCCATACTCCGTTAGCACAGAGAGATGAAGTTGTCAGGCCAAATCCCAGAACAGTAGAGGTAGCAACAGTATCGATGACAATAGAATAGATTAGGTATCGAGGGTACGGCTGGAAAGGATATATATATATATATATATATATATATATATATATATATATATATAAATTTCCTGACCGTAACTGATACCTTAACGTAGTGGTCGAGTATGCCTATCTTGATAACTCAACAGAGCTATATTGGCTGGAACATATGTTCCTATAGGTCCTATCATGCCAGACAGGTCGATTAGAAAACGGTAAGAATAAAAGCAGCAACTCAAGGTCTGAGGGCGAATTCGTACTGATGACTGTAGAGGGGTATGACAGCAGTAAGGTGTTTCCCTCGGACAACCAGCATCTGCAGCGATGCTGCCTTCTCACAAGGAAGGAAGGGATGAGAAAAGGTCGACCCTAGAAATGTCACACCTCACCGGAGCTAACACGTTAAAACTTCCCATAAAAAGGCCATGCGTGACCGGCCTCAAGGAGTTATTCCTAGGGCTCTGCAGTCACGCTCCCAGGTCACTAAGACCACCACTAATCCAGTTTCTTTTTCAGGTCCCTCAAGAACAAATATCTTTCCACGGTCTGGGTGACCGGAAAGTGACATTCGCCCGCATATATCTATTAACACCTGAGATAATCTTGCTGAAGTTATTATGGTGTGAAAGAAAGCTGTACGAGACTAAAATCCGTTGGTCCTTCACGACTCCCTTATTAAAGTCCTAAAGATAGCGCAACACAGTGACTTGATACCTTACCAGACATTTATTCAGAACAACATGCAGCGGCGATCCTGCTGTAATATTCTTTTATTCTTTACATAAGAGTGAGACGAACGTCTTTGACTGAAGGTTCCCTTCCTAGTTGTATTTTTATAAAACGAACTGCCTCCTTCACCTTTTCTGCTGTCATTCACTATTTTTTATTAATTTTTGTTCCCTCTCTTATTATACTCACCTTTTTTCTTCTATTTCTTTATAATCTGCTTTTTACTGTGTGGAGAATATACATTTTGGCATCCGTTTGTACACATACTTGTATTTGAATGAGTAAATAAATATTTTGAAAACAAGCAATAATATTACATGCTTTGTAGCAAGGAGAAAAAAAATATTCTAGGTTATCTTGATTGAACTAACTGTTATTTATTCCAGTATTACCTATCACGTTTACTTTTTATGACGTGGTAAGACTACACCACATAGACGACCTTTAGCGATCAATCACAATTAAGCGGGCTGATGTGCGAATTTAAAACGCTGTTGTGGATATTTTGCTTATAAATTTCGTGATTTTTATTATATTTCAAATTTTGAAAGGACTGGATGGTGATTACCTTATAGAATGAGCTATCAACGTCAGTTTGTTTGGATTATGAGTGTGAAGGTTGGGCGTTGGTGTTTAGGAGCTTTAGGGTTAGAATCTGGTACCTAGGAGTTATAGGGTCGTTAGCATTTAATTAACATAAGGCTACGAATTAGGGTCTATCCTGATAACAGAACTATGATATCTAGCTTGAATTAACGATATTTAGCATTGATAAGTTTATTTATGATTTTAACTCTCAACCTTCAGTAATCCTATCGTTTTCTTACTCTCAAGGCCACCCATAAATTCACTGTAGGTCTTCGGTATAGCATAGTCTTGCCTAGATTTTACATAAATAATATAATTATTAATTTCTTCTACGACTTACTCTGGTTTAGATTCAAAAGAACGACGGCATATCAACTCATCCATGGATTTTCCATTTTCTAGGACCCTTAAAAGGAACCAAACACTTTTAAGTCACCAGATTGTTCCCAGTTGGGGTTAGGTGTTTAGGCTTTGGGTTCTCATCACAAGCTGACACAACTATAATGTAAAATGCTATGTAGCCATGTCAATGACTGATTTCACTCAAAAATACGAGGGGAGCTAACTGATTAGTTCTTCTATGAAATACAGCGCCATCAGGTTAACATTTGTTTCGAGAATAGGGGTTGATGGTTACGATTTATCTGTTATACATGATTTAAACAGACAATGATGAGAAAAAAGTACTTTTTCACTATCATTTCAAGAGTTTAATGATTGAAAATATATTAATGTATTTAACCCTAATATCACGTTTGCTATGACCGCTGGTTGGATAAATGTCTGTAGTCACGTGATTTCTGCTGTCCAAGCTATAAAATGGAGCTAAAAGCATATTAAGAAATACTTAATGATTTAATAAAAGAGAACACATAAAAGTTAGGGATGACAGAAGAAGTACTTCTGTTTTAGACTGAAAATCATTTTTTTCGTAAAATGAAAATAATCATTTTCCATATTTAACTGTTTAATTTGTCAATAGTTTAAAATAAAAACTGCTTTATCACTGAAATATTGTCTGATACATACAGTGAACATTGGAACTATCCAATTTCTAAAAACGTTCATGACTTAGGATTCTCAGCATAAAAAATAACTGTAAATACGGGACCCATCATCCCCAAAAAACATTAAATAATAGATATTTGCAACCGTTCTATTAAAAATAGAAATCAAGTTTATATAACGCAGGACATATGTTTACCTCCTATGTGAGATGCATTAGTTTTGTAGAAGAAATTATTGACTGTTGGGAATCAATAACACGTGCACTAATTTTCTTGTAAATGATTACGACTAATAATCCTAACACAAATAATGATCATTCCATTTAATTATATACAGTTATACGAGAGAAGTCATTTACAAAAACGTACCATGCACCCATTTTACCAGACTTTGCTGAAAACATCTTTTCCACTCTAGAACTACAATTTGGTGAAGTGCATTCGATATTTCCTTGAGAATTATTTCCATCTATCACGAAACCAGAACTGTCATCGACAACTGTATCAACCTTAACATCGACTAAATGAAGCACTAAACCACCAAACACACTGTTAGATAGATCATATGATTCAAGATCACGCGACTGAATTTCATTAGAAGAGCACGAATTTATTTCAGTATTGTTATTGTTTGGATATTGAACATGTGAAACAGGCATTTTAGATTGGGAATATGTTGGAAGACTATTAGGATTGATCCAGCACAAAATTGAACGTGGACCAGGACGAAAACGACTGGATCGTGCAGTACAATAAGCACTCGTGGAATCTACGAAACACAGAGTGGCATGAAAAATTAACATGAATTATAATGAGATTTAATTAAATGGATATGAGTAGAACACTTGATATAAGCAACCATAAAGCGATCCTAAATCAAACAATATATTTCTGTGCATATGTCAAGTAGCAGCCATTCTATTCCACTATGATATGGATGATTCTGAAGCGCCCCGAAGAGTAATCACACTTATCTATTGTAATATAATCATCTAATTCATGACTGAACTAAAAAATCAGCTAGAGATATCTAGCATTATAGGCAAGTTTTTTCATCGAAACTCAAACTTGGCAGTTAATGGAATAGTAAAACACCTTAAGTCTCATAACTACGAAAGTATGTACTAACAGACAGTTGATTTGGTATTGAATGGGTTTTGAGTAAAAACAACCATCATAGAATAGTACAAATTCATTCCGTTACCCAATTTAATAATCTGTACAAGGTAGTCAACAGGGGGATGTCTTACGTATATATACAAAAATTATCTGTAGTTTTACACAACCAATTTTATCATACCATAATAACATGAAGATAGAAACTAAAATTAATTTCTCGCACACGTTAGATCTAAAAGATTGAGATATAACTAGAAAAGTAGAGAAATGTATCTGTGAGTGAAAGTGCTAAATTAAAACTTGAACAATACAATTTATAGCATGTTACCAATACTTTAGCACTATTTGAGGGTATTATTTTTTATATACATACAAGCGAGTACAAATTTCTCAAAATACAATCGATTCTTCAATCATGTGAAAATGTATTTCCTTGATCATTTATAGTTCTGTTTAGTTGTATACACAAAACTGCTACATCTACGCAGTATGATACGAACTTGGCAGAATATTAGACAAAATATACCATTTTACGACTGTTTGCTAATAAAAGCTCTCAGAGTAGGTATGACGATTTAACACTATTTCAGTGTACAGTGAAAATTATACAGACCTCGACACATAACTCGTGCTGTTAATAACTTCTTACACGTAATCAATCATAGTAAAAGAAGCATATAGTTAATCAATTTGATAATAAAACCAAACAATATGGTTTATTATTGAAAAGAGAGTAATATTTTACATGAGCATCTAAGTGTGTGTTGTTAATAAGTTTCCTTGTGTCAAGGTTTAGAGTATTTAACTGACTTGATGAAGTCGTGCTAAGACGAAACGAAGATGAAGCTGTATAATACGTTTATGACGCTTCTTTAGAATAATCTTTTTAGGTTCACATAAATAAATAATTCCCGGGAAAAAGTATAATTCAACTTCATGGTATTATTCACCTGAATTGGAAGTATCATCATCTACTGAGAACCGAATTCGCATTTCGTCATTATCACATGGAATTTGTGGAAGGGAGTAAATTAAACGCTCTTGAGTGCTTGCATCCAGTAGTAGAGTATCACTACCAACAGTTGTTGAAGATTCTGGTTGAAAACATTGAGGTAAACACCATCTAAACAAACAACGGCGCATGCATAAAAATAATCCCCGACTTAAAAGACGATGCTTGGGTACTTTACAAGCAGATAAAGCATCAATTAGTCTCCACTTGAAATCCGATATCGTTGATTTATTCATACGTGCGAAAATGTCGTATCCATAGATGATGGATAGTAGAAAAGGTTTACAATAGTCGGCTAGTTCTTGACTAAATGTTAGAAAAAAATCACAGCATAAAAAATGGAAAACGATTAAAACAACCAGTAACTAGAAACTCTAGGATTCTGTTGATATATTTACGATAATCATACATATATATGTTCGAAAAATAATCATAGTATGCACGCTAATATACAGACATGATCGGTTTAATATAAATGGAGAGACGGCTCTTTCAGAAGAGATATAACATTTGAAAAGGTATGGACTCCTAAACTCTTTAGACTAAACATTTATAACAAAGGTGTTAATAACGTGAAGTATACAACCTAAAACCAGAATATCATTTTGTAGTCTAAAATTGTTGGTGAATTACACACTGTAGTAGTCATGACTTTTGTAGACAAAGATTTGTTATTAAAATGTACAGAAGACATAGATACACTAAGGTGGCATAACTATGACGTCAAATGTGTTTTGGAATGATAGTTGTCCCATTGTTGTTATGGTAGATACAATAAATGGTTAGTTTACTGCAGTTCGGTTTGATGTTTCACATTGCTTTAATGTTGAGAGATCTTTCAATTCTATTCAAACGAAAATAAGTGAACACATAGTACTCAATTCAATAAGTTCTTATCATGTTTTTTTTAAAAAGTTTTGGGCCCAAATTAACTATCGCAATAGTAATCACGTTCGTACAAAACACTGATATGGAAGACGATCCCCTTGAACTGTTTAACACAACAAGGGATAAGCTTTTCAAAAGATAATTTAAGTTGCGTTGGACGAAGATCATGAAAACAAAGTAAACTTTCTTAGTGTTAGAGCAAGTATTAATTAGATGTTTCCTATTATTTGACTTGTTTCAAATAGCTTGATGGATGTAACACGCTTTAAATCATCCAAACGACGACAATGATAGTCGTTTGGTCTAAACAACATGAGCTATGTACCTAAACTTGAATATGCTGAAGTTTTATCACACTTAGAAACATCTCAAACAATGAATTTCAAACTCAATCCAATATAGTAATTACAATGACGACTAGTTTTCTTTGTTCCAACACTTTTTACTGTCTGTTCTAAACTACCAGCTTGCGTTTTTATCACATCGAATTAACAACTTTATGTAGAAATCGAAATGGAGATTGTTGTTTGTAAAAGCAAGCAAAATATTTTCTTCAGTCTAGTAAATTCTAAACACGGAGCCATAAGTTTTAGTGAATATAATCCAGATGAATTGTATCCTCCAAAAATTGAAAGTAGGAACTTATTCAAAGATAGCTTGTGATACACTTAAAAATAGGTTAAAAAGCGATATGACTAAGGTGTATGACGTCACAATAACTAAAACCTGAACGAGATAACATTAATAATCATGAATGTATTTATAATGAACAATTTGTTAGGTTCGCCAAATGATTAACACAGAATACGATATACAACTAAAGGCACTCGAACGCATAGAACCCCCAGAGTCGCAAATCAGAAGATAGAAGAAATAGGAGAAGTGATTGTTCGGTAAGAATCAAAAATATAAAGAAAACCATGGGTAATTATAGACAAGTGTTTGCTATAACATCATTATAATTCAGTCAATCCGCAAGGAGGCAAGTTTTGCTACTGTCCAATTGCAGGATGCCGAGTTGATATTGTAGAAAGCTCTGTCAGATTCTAAATTGGTGGAAACTCTTCGGCCCCTTTAGGGCCTCTGGAGGCTCCGTCATCCTTCTCGGAAGCCGTCTCAACACAAGTAAACCGAGTTAATCTACGTTAGTTTCCACCAATTTTTCTAGAAAGTAACCTGTTATAGAATTTGTTAGCTCTTATAAAAACAGAGTTATATTCACCCGCAGACAGACTTGTGTCTACACTTTAATTTGCACTAGCTATGATGTTCACATTGAGAAACATTTTTGTTTTAATACTTCCATAGTGAAAAAGTAGTGAATGAAACCTTTTAGATAAATTTTGGGTCAATCGGGTTCAGTAAATGGAAGATATGACTCATCATACAAACTTGAGATATTTATCTAAAAACAAAGACATACATCGTAATTATAATGACGTTTTTGAAATGATCGCACACAAACTCAAATGAATAACACATTAGTAATCATAATTAAGAGTAATTTATTATGTTTGACTTCAATGTATAGAATAATAGTTCTCTCTTTTAGAAAAAAAGTGGTTTTCAAGAGGTGGGTGGTGACTCACAAGTACATTGGCTCAAGTAACGCCAAATTCTACACACATAGAATTGAGTTTTTTGCTAAGATACGGAAGAAGACAAAACAGACTAGTATACAGCTAAAATAAATGAACTGAGTGGATGTGTGATTCACCACATGTTGAAGACTGAACGAATGCTTTGTATGGAGAGGAAACAATGATTAATCTTAAAGTTACTTGGAATCACAATTATGATTAGTAGTTAAATTCGATTTCCAGCTGCCACCTGACTAAATTTCGAAAAAGAATTTAGTTTTTACGATGGAAGCTATGTATCAGCTCTACACAAAGTTGAAGGTATTTGTCAAAACAACTGTCATCATATAAATAATCCTTCTTTATTTACCAAATGTCGAAATGGGAAATTTCACTATACAAGTATTTGCTTGAACTATCGTCTTTGCAGTTATACCATTTGTTATAACGCTTGGTTTTACTTCGTCTAATGTTATAACGGTTGGGTTTCCACGTATGGGACATTAATTTACGTTAAACGATTATCTACAATAGATCCCTCCCAGTGTCTATTCTACAGGACGTCAACACAACTCAGATCAAGAACACGTAATTAGCCTGACCACAACGTAAATATATTTCCACACCAAAAACCGACACAATCCACAACAATGAATAATCAATAATAATTGTGTCACAATAATAAGGATAAGGGAATATATAACTTATCTGACACCTGTCAGACTATCTACATGTTTAACTAAGCAGACAACCAATCATTATCATTCTCACCCAAACATCATCATTCATACTGTTTATTTTGTATATTTACCGATTACGAATTTCATTATTTCCTAACATTCACAAAGGTGGTAAAAAGAATTTACATTAGTGTAAAATTAAAAAGGCTATACAGAATATTTTTTATTATGTCACCAATAAACTGTTGATTTTTACGGAGACGATATATAGTAAGTAATCTACAGAGGTGACGGACGATTATTCCACTGTGGAGATTAGTTAGCACGTGTATAAATTGTATCTTTTCTTGAGAAAACAACAGAAACGATAATTAATGAGACTGGATTGATAGTGCTAGTGACTAATAAAAATAAATGACATGGTAATAATGATACTTACTTCATCATACCCAAAGGTGCACTGAAAGCATAACCTTTCACATCAGGATATTTACAGTGTAGGATGACCGAAAGAAAAGATGCAATGCCAGCACCCAGACTATGACCACATACCACTAATTTATATTGTGGTTTTTTACCAAATGCCGTTTCAATTGAATGATCAGTTAGTAAACAACTGTATAAATGTCTTGCTCGTTCTACCATACCACGATGTCCAATAAAACATGGTCGTCTACCCGTTTTTGATTCGACAAAATCTTCAACTTCACTCAATCGTACACCATCGTACAGCAAGTCGACTATAGTGTCATCGAACGACAAAGTACCACGGATAGAGATAACAATACATTTACTAAAATCATCGACTGCTACAAAGTAAGGAGATTGGTAAACCTATGAAAGATATTAGACAAACATTGAAAGGAAGTGAAGTTGACAAGTGAATACAAAAACAATGTTATCGTTATTAACATAGTAGGAATGATATAGTTTAAAATCTCTTTCTATTACTAGGATTTTTCCATAGAAGCTTAACTTATGACTCAAATAATCGACAAGAGAACATGACGACGTAAGATGTATCTAAAAAGGAATCAAGAGCAACTGCTAGTTTATTGGTTCGTCTTCCTGATAAACGTTGACAGGTACGATAGATGGGTTAATATTTTGTTGATGTCTGCTTGCAGAAACAAATTAACGAGATGAAAAGTTACATCCAAAACCAGATATTGCGTTCGATCTTACCATAACTAATACTTTTAATGAATATTTGACAGTATTCATTAAGTATTCAAGACATTCAAAAGTAAAATTACCAGAAAGGAATAAAAAGATGATAGGAGATAGATGAACCAAGTAGTTTATTGGTTCTACTTATTGTCACTAAAATTTAATAATTTAATGCCTGGACACTTAATATTAAACAACTATAAATATTTTTCAGAAATTAAAGTTTTCACGTAATATCAATGTTCTAAAACGATTTGATGACATTTTGCTGTTCAGATATCGAAAAAGTACATTGATTAATGTATATCTAATTTTCATATTTTGTAGAGTAAAACTAGTTGAAAAAGCACATGAAAACAGTGCTTAAGTACAAAGGCCAGAATTTATAGTTTAACACTGCTCTCAACATGAATTCCTCTCAGTTACTTAAAAACCTACATGACTCAGTTTTCAATGCACAGAATCAATATTTAAATACAAACAATGTTGAATATAGTATCGTACAAGAGTTTATTTTCATTCGCAAGGCTAACTTATCGATAGACAAACTAATCAAAAGGACAAGTACTCTATTCATCAGGAGGAAAGACTGCGACAGAGAAAAAGATAATTTATGTATGAGGTATCTGAAAGACTACGCATTTAACTGTTTTAACACAAACCTCCAAAAACAAAGTTTAAACTTTTAAGTGGTGAGCATAAAGTAGGGTTTGTTTTCTATGAACAGGTCAAATAATGGGAAAGTAATAATTCAAAGGAAATAAGATTCAGTTTCACACAATTTATGTTTAATTCGATTTAATTTCCTTTGAGATGCCTAATTTAAGGATTTTACTAGAAATTATCTGATTTGTTTTTCATTTGAAAGAGTATGGTTGATCATATACACTGAATTTCCCAATGATTCAGTCATATTAAGCAAGCGATTTTTTATCACTGCATTCTTTCAAATAAGTCAATCCACGATACACTGCGCGCTCGTCGATGCGAATTGCTGAGTTACTGCATACTAAAATGAAACATTTAGCTAGTGCTACCTGGTTTTCTATGGATGTTTAACTTGTGTTGGTTAGTGATATTAATAATGTTCAATAATCTCTACGATTCTCTACGCTGATAAAACAATATTGCTGAAATGATTAATACATAGATAGAATTTTCAAAATTTATTTGATTATTAAACCAGATGTCTGCACTTCACTAATTTAATCAACTATAATTAAACGCATAAGAAAAAGTTGTCATTTAACAGACGGAAAAATGTGTGTTCAACCATCACATTCATTCTTTAGCATGAGGTCATCAAAACATGGACCGATTTTCGATAGCTTATAAGCGAATTCTCGCTTTTTTATACAGAAAAAAGATCAATATATAATAACCAACCACATTGGGATAGTGGTAGGCCGGAAGAAAGTTTCATTTTTTGTTTCAAATAATTTAGCAGATGAATTAATGAAATTATATAAGTTATGAAAAGTAATGTTGTTAAATAATATATGGAAACAATTCTTTGTAATAACATACTGAATTATCATAAGACAGTTTAATAAACTGATCTTCTCTTAAACAAGTGAACTCGAGTATAGCTGCCAGATCGCATGTATATTTTGAGCATATACAACAACTAAGTTTTGTATTTCCAGATGATACAGGATTACAAGAATTTCTTTATTAAAGCAATAAACAGAAAATGTATGTATAGACAATAATAATAATAATAATAATAATAATAATAATAATAATAATAATAATAACAATAATAACAATAATACTAATAATAATAAGTGTTTATAAGGCTTTCTGATAACACCTATATGAATAGTGTAAAACTACTTCAGTAACATAAAGTACTTCAGTATTGACAGGCAATTGGCAACTTGGTAGATATGCAGAGGAATATACCAATTATTATCGTGTCAAGTCGAATGGTGACCTTGGACGTTAAATGTACATTCCCTATTGGTCGGTATTTATTTCACTTGTTAAATATTGTGTAAATGTTGTTTTCTATTTTTATGGTACGATGTGGTCTGTTTGGTTAGTATATAAATAGAGTATGTCTGAAATATAACGATTCATAACTCAGAGGCTGTGACTTGCATTCTAGACTCAACTGGCTGCGCTAGACAGGGTAAGCGGGACCAGTCGGGACTCTAGGTCGTCCTTACGTGTTTTACGTGTCACTGATTCGATCGATAAATACGCTGCGCATCTAACCTGCAGTCCACACGTTACAACACAACTAAAAGTTTCATACGAAATTAACCAAACAATTAAAGCATAACGGTTAAAGTGAACTTGACCTGATAGACGAAAGAGGATAAAATACACCATAGTTAGGATAATAGAAATAACATTACATCATTTGGTGGTGAAATCGCTGTATAATAAACAAGATTCAAGTACACAGAAATAGTGATATTTGATCACCTTAATCCTTGAGGGGTAGCTAGTAGACAGGATAAAGAAATAATGTTAATTAGTCAGTGTTGCAAACTTACTTTTACAGTATTACCTTATCTTCAAAAGTAAACAAGACTAATAGATGTATCCTGACAAACTACAAATTATAAACCGTCTTGAGCTTTTTTACCATCCACTATGAAGTGTTAATCGGTGATTTAAATCGAAGCTCCCGTTAAATTGGAAATAATTTTACTAAATTTCCAGGAAGCTATTTTTGGAGAGATAACACTACTTTTTTCAAATAAATGAAGAAAACAGATATTTATATTTCGATAATGTAATAAGAAGACGAAGATTATCAGAACTATGTGATATATATACATGTCATTTTATAAGAGATATGTGGACGATATCTTAGTTGTTTGTGAGAGGAAAGAGGATATGTACTCTTTACTAAATAAACTTAACACTCTCCGAAACCATATTATTCTCTCATGTGAGGAGAAGAAGAACGATCAGCTTCCCTTCTTAGATATACTTCTGAGTAGACGAGAAGATGGCTCAGTCAAGCGATCTATTTTTAGAAAACCAACGTGGACAGGTCAATACCTTAGTTATTATAGTTATTGACCTGTGCAATACAAACGTGGTTTGATAAGGTGTCTTTTCAACAGGCTCGATCGTATTTGTACCAATGACGCCATTGATGATGTTGTTACTAAATAAAAAATTAATAGAAAATGGCTATCCTTTGAAATTTATAAATAGATGGAAAGTCCATGGTACAGCGAGACCTACTGTAGCATCGGTAGAGAAAAAGCCTGTCTACATCACCTTACCATTCAGAGGTGATTAAAATAGCCTTTTATTGAAACAAAGACTTAAATCAGTCATCAATAAAACCTATTGTGCAGCAAAGGTCATCATCAAAGAAAGAACAAGGTGCATGCTTCATTCAAAACCTAAAGTACATGAAAACGATTGCGTCACATCCCACTGTGTTTACCAATTTAAATGTGTGTGTGGTCACACATACGCAGGGAGGAGCAATCGTGACCTCAACATTAGGGTGAGCGAACATGTACCCAAATGGCTGCAGAAACAAATACAATCAAGTGACCTAATAAAAGCAGAGGATAAACATCCATCACCCTCTATTGCTAAACATATAATTGAAACAGGTCACAAGGTTGATCTAAATTCAGCTTTTGTAGTGTTGTATAAAAGTGTAAAAGGGCGTATACTAAGGTTTATTGAAGCCTTAACCATACGAAAATTCAAACCCCCTTTGTGTGCTCAAAAACAGTTTGTTCTTTCACCTTAAACCTACCCTGGTAATATTGACTTATTAACCAGAGTGATTAGGTTTCGCTTTGTGTTCACATGATTATTATTATTACTCTTATCATTATCCTTATCTCCTCTTACCCCGTTTTCTGTCTAGTTGACCTTTCTTTTTTATATATAAATGCTCTTAACAAGTATATGTGTGACCAGATTGTTCGAAATCTATTGCGCAAATATATAACATAGTTCTGATAATCTTCGTCTTCTTATTACATTATCGAAATTTATCAAAGGGACTAATTGTTTTAGATATTTATATCGCAAAAAAACAGCGTAATAGTAATTAAAGCGTACACTATGTTAATAAAGATGAGTGTTCTTTGGTCCTATTTTATCTTAAGTTTCGTTTAATCGTCTTGCACAGAACACTAAAGTTTAGTTTACTGGTATAGAAATAACCAGTCAACACAATCGAGATATTTAGATACTTGAATACAATAGTCATGGTTTTAAATATAAACAGTCTGGTACAAGGAAAATTTGTAGTGCAACTGGAAAATTACATTCTGATTAGTTTAATATCATCAAAACTTCGGAGTTGTTGAATGACTGGAACACTCTCCTCATATGCAAGTGAAGATTACAATGAACAAGAGTAAATGGTCATTGAGTTAGCATCTGGGCTACCTGTTCCTGCCATCTAGATATTTCAACAAGTTATAGATTTTTGTTTGTTTTAATACATCATTATGTTTATGAATCGCATAACCTATCCTGCTGCGTTTCTGAAAAGTGTACAACCTTTCGTTGTCAAACTTACAAAAAACTCAATAAGAGACAATGTGGTTGCTGGCAATATACAACGAAAAGAATGTACATTATTCAGATGTTCATTCACTGAAGTGCTAACGTCTAACTGGCGATCACTCAATATTTATCGCCAGGACCGACCAAGAAGAAAGAAACGGAAACTGGTTGAAATACTTTGCGCTGAGAATTCTATATTGTGCCAAAAATATAATATTGAATAAAGCAGATTATAATAATAATAATAATTATTATTATTATTCCATTTCTTAAATGATAAGTAATGTAAAGTTAGCATACTTTCTTCGTATAATTCGCACATAAGCAGTACCTTTATTTCCGAACATAGATTCTTGGTTAGGAAAATAATCGACCCAATCACTTCAGTCGCTTAAATTTTTTATTAAACCAACTGAGGTGTCTTAGTAAAGACTGATTTTCGAAACCAAATGGGAATAGATCTCTACATGTTTATATTGTGACTGACGATAGTCGATACATAAACCAGTAGAGACTAATCAAATCATCTTTAATATCAACCAAGAGAAATCCGACCCATTATAAATAACAAATCTGTTCACAACAAAGAGGTTTTGACTATGAAAAAGCCAATAATTAACCTCAATTTTTGGTACTTAAAACTTCATATCATAGAGCAACCAGAATAAAAACAGCATATTGAGGTAACGGTGACAGAGTTTAGATGATGATTGGTGCGCAACCCAATGGTTTATGTAAAAAGCCTAGATATAAATAGATATATAGAGATAACTGATATGTTCTGAGACATTTAGTAGCCGGAAGCAAACATTATCGCCCAATCTTTAAAATCGAAGTGTTTAGTTGAGGGTTTTAGGCAAAGGTCATTTGACTGGAAATTGTGATCATAAGATGTCAGCACTGAATAACAAATTATCGATCAAAACTGAGTTTAAAATAGGGAACTAATTAATTTGTAGATTTATTATATTTATAGCCAACAAAGTTTGCGTGTATGTAGCATTGAAGAAACGCGTAAAAATACAGGATATAAAGTAATACTACATCTTTCATCATTCATATTGTATCTCAAATTTCATATGATGTTCACGTAAACAAAAACAATCGACTTTATTAAAACTTTATAAGCTACTATACTGCTTTACACATTATTCATACGGATCCTTACTTCAACATACTTATAGATTCATATCAAACTTGATGATAGAAAAGAAAATTAGATAGAATTCACTTAGTCAGAAAGAAGAAAAACAAACGATGCTCATTAGTGAATTCTGTTGAATAATTTTAACTCAGCATATTTGGCTAAAACTTTTGTTATGATATTCAAGAGTATTAAAGTGCCTTTAAAATTTAATTTAACTAATTTGTATTTAATCTAAAGTTTTGCCTCATTTCCGAACAAATATGTTTTATTGATTATGCGCTTGAAGAAAATTTGAAGCTGTCTTTTCAGAAATAAAGAAATGAGCATTCCTAAGTTTATGATGAATCACAGATTACAGATGCTGACTAAAATGACAACAAAACTTCCACTTAAAATGAAGCCAAATTAAAAAAGCTCAATATCTAAGATTTCATCGTTATATACATATATGCATAAAAAATAAGAACATTTAATTTCATTTGTTTTCTTTGACTTCTGAATTGATGTTAACCTATTTCCAATGATTCACCAAGGTAGTTGTAGCAGGAGAGTATAGGATGGGAAGGATGACAGTTTCTTATTTCAACAACAACAGTGAAACTGGTTAACGTGTACTATACTGATAGCCTTGAGTAAATCAATAACAATTAAGTGCAACTTAGAAGTCTGCGCGAAATTAAGAGAGCGGTGCAAGATAGCTTATATGGTTAAGGGCATTATGATGTGCGGTGTCCGATATCTGATACTAGTGCACGAAGTGCTATTATTATTATTATTATTATTATTATTATTATTATTATTATTATTATTATTATTATTATTATTATTATTATTATTATTATTATCAGTGGTCTAATGGTTAAGTGCTCGCGCACGAAGCCAGTAGGTCCTGGGTTCGAGCCCCGCGTGGTGCGGGATCGTGGATGCGTACTGCTGAGGAGTCCCATACTAGGACGAAACGGCCGTCCAGTGCTTCCAGGTTTTCAATGGTGGTCTAGCTTCAACTGACTCATGATTTCAACTTGTGAAATTTACTAAAATCTCCACAAAACTCATTCTGATAATAATCATCTGCTCACTAGTGACTGACTTCAGGAGAACCTTCTGGAGTTCTAGTGAGAAGCCGTCACCAGTGGAGTTCAACCAGGTCTGTTGTGAGATATCAGCTCACTGAAGACATTGGTGTTCGATGGCGCAACTTCGTGGATTGGTTGAAGTTAGACATTAACACCGTTGGATGCCGGCTCAGTGGTCTAATGGTTAAGTGCTCGCGCGCGAAGCCAGTAGGTCCTGGGTTCGAGCCCCGCGTGGTGCGGGATCGTGGATGCGTACTGCTGAGGAGTCCCATACTAGGACGAAACGGCCGTCCAGTGCTTCCAGGTTTTCAATGGTGGTCTAGCTTCAACTGACTCATGATTTCAACTTGTGATATTATTATATACCTTTTACCAGAAGCTTTTGTTTGATACATTAACTTCTAGTATACGATTTACTACTCCTAAATTGTTGTCACTTTGTTATTTAGTCTCCCCTATCAACAGAATCGTTAGGCTTATTCATGTATATTTTTTCATTATTTTATGTTGTGGTGTGATCTGATATGCCTGTGTATAAACTACGTCTTCTTGAAATACAACATTCGTTCATTCATTGAGGCTAGTGACTGACTTCTGGACTGAATATCAAGGTAGAGGAAGAAGCTACGGAATCGTGGGCCAATAAGCCCTTAACAGTTTCTCAAAGTTACTAGTGCTGACTGGAAATGTAATTGGCCAACTCAAGGACAATAAGTCATGGAAACCAAGATTCTGATTGGTGGCTTAGTTATGTGATATTAATGAGAGGCCATATGGTATAACAAAGAGCTCCATCAAGTGTGACTGGGTTAGTGCCTCTGTGTTGTATTTCGGGATCTTGTTTTCTCGCTTGTTTATCATGAGACCTACTGCTGTAGAGCTGTTGCTACACTGGCTATGTTCCCTTGCATTTGTCGCTATGAATGGGTTAGAAGAGCTACGTCATCTGTAGTCCAAAGTGTCTGGTCGCATCTAATATGTCCTTTGCGTCCCGTGCTTTCCCTCAGATGTAGAGATCTTCATAATCGAATCGACCACCAGAAGAAAGAGTGAAGGTAAGAGTAAGCAGATTCGTCTGATACTAGTCCTTAATTGGAATGAGTCTGTAGTGGCTGTGCTTCGATAACTAATCACCCTCGAACCGTTATCGTACAATCTTCAACGGTGTTTGAAATCAGAAGGTAAAAAGAAGCAGCTACTACAGTTTATTTAACAGATAATTCGGACCATACAGCAGAGGCAAAACGAACGAGCAAGCGAACTACGGTTGTAGCAGTAGTAGTGTAAATATATATATATAGGGAAATGGATGAGTCATCGAATAGATTAAGCAGCTAATAATGAAGCTAGCAGAATGAATATATGCGTATGCGCTAAACAATGCTCAAGCACACCTATTTCATACAAGCACAATGATAATAAAAATACAACAAGTTATTATAGCATGGATGACTTTGTCCATTAAATAGGTTAACAAAAGACCTTGACTGAGCTAAATGAGAATAAACTCAATTGCACGTGAGTCGCTATAAGTCCGTCAGCTGTCTTACATGCACGACTTAACAGTGTATTCCATCGTATGATGGTAACAATCTTCGCAGGTATACCGTATTGTCGAAGAAGGTTCCGTAAGGTTCTCCTATCCACGCTGTCAAACGTTTTATCATATTCATGGGAGCTGATGTATAGTGACGAGTTCCATTCAAGTGATTGTTCAACGATGATCCGTAGTGTTGCGATTTGGTTGGTACACAATCAATCCTTACTGAATCCAGATAATTGATCTTGAAGTTGGACGTCTACTGAATCTTTTATTCAGTTCAATTGGTGACGAAAATCCTATAGGAGTATAATCATATTTCACATCGCTAATCGAACTTACAATAAGTTAAGTTGACCTTTTTCTCTTACCATAGTGGATAATTTAACATTTATGGGTTAATTAGTCATATCAAACCCACTGAACCGTTGTAATTTTACTGTTTTTTCACTGTTAATTATTTCATGCCTAAACGGTGGTACTTGACTATCCAACAAGTCTCTTACGGTCGCCAATACAGTACACCTTTTGCATAAAAAATTAAGAGCTTCAAAGAAAATCAGTAAACATTTGCTCACATGAAATGAGTGAGCGAATCGAATTGATGATGGATTCAACTATTACTTATGGGCTTAATTACAAATTAGCCATGAGTTTGAAAACTTTTTCTCATAACTCGTTTCTACGTATCACACTAAGTAATAATGACCTAATGAAGTTGTGTGTAGAATATAATATTTGTATAAAATATTGGTGTACAGTGAGCGACTTTATGGCCAGTAATTTTCAACTGAGGTATTTTTGAATTGTTTGTAGTATTCAATTTCATGGCATCCAAAGGAGTTTCTGTGGCGAGGCTACCTTTTAGCTGATCGTTTACTTTTCCAATTAAGATTTAGGAATTATGCTAGTGGAGTAAAAATCGTTATCGTATATGCTGAGAATTCATCTTTAGTCTTTCAAAAAGTACACTTGGATTGGACATATTGTACATGGTTCATCACGAGGTAACTATGGCTATACAGTCATAGTGAATTATATAAATGTTCATAAACCAAATGAGTATTCAATGATTGACTTGAAACTTACAAAATATAATGAATATATGTAAGTTTACTTTAGTAATAAATATGGTATACAGTTAAAATAACTTACAAACAACAAGGTAAATGATGAAGCAGTCTACAAGTGGCACCTGGTTTACCAAGATTCATGCTATAGTATAATAACTTTCCGTAGACTGCAGTTACTAATTCGGCAATTCGATATATTCTTTGAATACCGAGCCATGGATCCGGGATCTGTAAAATTATAATAGAGATATTTCGATTTTAATGTGCGTACATAACACACAACTTTAATTAATATCTCATTATTAGTAATGACTAGAAGATAAAGACGAATATGGTTGGAAATCAAATAAGTGGTGTGTCCCAAGAGTTCATTTTCTGTTGTATAAAAAGCTTATAAAAAACCTCATCACATAATATCGACAACCTTTTGATCAGTACCTGCGTATTTTGTCTATTCATTTGATTACGTCCGTCAGTTAGCCCTAAACAATCTAAGGTATGGCGCAAATATGTGCCACACTTATCATTGGCACAACAAGAGGATAGTATTAGAATGCAAACTAAAGGAGTCAAATTAGTAGTGGTAATGGTAGTAAAAACGACAAAAAATAAGGCTCGAAAATCAGATAATGTTAAACCCAACACTTAATGGGAAATAAAGAAAGAATACAAGTGGGGGACATTGAAATTGATTTTCAGCCATATCTTCAACCAGAGATTACAACTGCTACGCAAATCAGTACCAGGAAGCCTTCATCTTCATACAGTTCAGTTCATCAGTCAATAACTTTGTGAACTGAGGACATGTCTTGGAGTGAAGTTCTATACATTTTTCCCAATCTACTATTTTAGCCACATATATATATGTGTAAGCGAGGGGCAAAAAAACATTAAATATGATTTATTTGTCTCAGTTCACAAAATTGGCTGTTCTAAAATCTATCGAAAGGTAAATATCCAATCGACAAATTCTCAATCAACCTGTGTTAACGCTCTATTTCCTTTAGTTAATCTTATGAAGAATCAATCAGTCACTCAGTAACAACGTAGAACTTCGTACGTACGTACATCAGTTCGAGTTGCCACACCATATTAGCACAGAGATGCAGTGGTCGATTCAAATCCCGTAGTGCTAGATGTAGTAAGGTTATAAGCTGTGAGGTCAGTGAGGTCAGATGAATGACGCTACTCGGATCCAGTATACGCGTTTCGGAGACGCAGCACACATCGATGGCGCGAGATTCTAAGGTCCTAGCTAAGGAAGCCTGCTGTCCTATTTGGCACAGAGTTCGGACGTTAAAAGCTCCTACGTGTAGTTTAGAGCGTGGTTTCAGGAGACCACGAATAGCGTTCCGCGTACTCGAATCGTTTGTCCTAGCGGTGCGAGGTGATAAAGAGACGTGAGGAGGGTTAGTCATGGAGATAAGAGAGGTATTAGGAGGTGTAGGAAGGATTTGAATGTGACCAACTTGGTCTCGTGTGCTGTTACGGGTATGAGGGCTGGTATCACTTCCCGGCTGCCCACACCGTGGAAGGGTATTTCTTGAGGAACCTGTAAAGGAAATTAGATTAGTGTTGGTATTAACGACCTGGGAGCGTGACCGCAGAGCGCAAGGGACAACTGCGTGAGGCCGGTCGCTCACGGCCTTTTCGTGGAAGGTTTTTAATGTGTTAGCTCCTTTTTTCAAAGGGCCTTACCACCGGAGACGGAAATCCGTGAGGTAAGGTGAGGTGTGACATTTTTAGGGTCGACCTTTTCTAACCCCACTCCTCCTTGTGGGAAGGCAGCATCGCTGCAGATGCTGGTTGTCCGAGGGAAACACGTTACTGCTGTCACACCCCACTACAGTCAGCAATACGACTTCGCCCTCAGACCTTGAGTTGCTGCTTTTAGTCTTACCGTTCTCCAATCGACCTGCCTGGCATGGTAGAACCTAGAGGAACATATGTTCCAGCCAATATAGCTCGGTTGGGTCATTACGATAGGCAAGCCCGACCACCGCCTCAAGGTAGCAGCTTCGGTCATTAACAATTTACGATTTATAAACTGAGACCACCATTTGAAAAATAGTGAACATATATATTAAGTTTTAAACTCGATAAGTAAAGATTTATGTAAACACACTCTTACGTAGTACTGAGATTTCAAATGGCAATCAAAGTACCAACCACTCTCAGAATTCTGTGACAGGACGTGAATAAGACTCACCGCGTAAGAATAAATGATATTGTTTGACAGCAGAATGAGAACTAAGAACAGTTAGTCGGTCGTACGCTAAGTAGAGTCTAAGACATACGTTTGTCAGTTATCGTTGCCATACCACATTAGTACAGCAGAATGAAATTGTTACGACGAATTTCAGAACAGTAGACGAAGAAGAAGAATCATCAGTAGTATAAAACATTAGGCAAGAGATACACCACACTAGGAGAAAATATCGATTGGTGGAATGAGAAATAACTATAAAATAATAGAGAAACTTAAGATCCAGAGGGAGACAAAATGAATGCCCATAAGCCACTGCAAATGATTCTGAAACACGTCACTTAAAGCCTTTAACTACTGTCTGATAATGATCGGACTGAGCCCCGTCAGGTAGTTTGCACCTACCTACATGACAGCCCAACAAACACTGTTTTTGTAGACTGATGCCACGTCTTCCTTTGACCACTCCTGGCTTTTTTCCAACCTATCCTATACTGACCATCATCACCCAACCATCTCAGTTGATAAAGATTTTCTGCTTCATTAATCGACTTGCCTAACCTCAGCATTGCTCACTCAATAGTACCACCATACATGAACAATGTTTGTAAGGAAGCTACGATCAAATAGTAGCATCCCCTATTTTCCAAGATAATAGAGTAGAACAGAACGAACTCCTGTGTAGTAACCTCGTTCTTTGACTGGGAGATAGATGTCTTGCTCACGTCACAAGTGGCACGAGTTTCCGAAAACCAACCAAGCTTACTGAATCAGTGTCAAAACTTTGTTATACGCTAGGCTACTAGAATAAATTTTGTTAGCATCTTCACCAAGCACAAATGAATCATATGCGTAAGAGCAGCTGAACTTTTATTTTAATGTGAACAGCATTGATAACTGATATTTGGTTTAGAAGACAGTGTTTTTATCTTCCCATTCATCCCTAATTAATGATCCTGGAAAAACATGAAGAATAGGCAAAGCTTATTTAGGTCTATCTTGAATATAAAAATGAGAGAGATCTATTGACGAATAACTAACTAAATGGTTAGTATATAGTGAAAACGATTTTAATTCAGAGGTAGCCTGGCAACATTTCCAGTGTTTTAAAGACAATAGTAATATCTGACGTTATTAAAACTTTTTGACAAACACTAACATTTGTATGATATTTACAGATTATTTCTAATATAATTTTCACACACAATGTCTTCTCTATACTCGGCACCCAATTTTTGTTAAACTGTCTTAATATTGACGAATATTCGTATAAAAAAGTAATGTTACCAGAATCAAAAATAGTGACTTGGAAGCCGATAATTAACAAAGTTGGAATTTATCTGTTCATTTATTCGTAAAGGATTTATTGAGTATTCAATTATCCATTTCGACATATCACAGGCTTCAAACTTTGTTTCGTCAGCATTTCTTTGGACAAAAAGTGAGTATAGGACAGAACGTTCGATTTTAACTTTTATCAACTATTATCAGTCGGTTGAGATTATTGTTGACTTATTCTGTTAAAATCATTGTATGATGGTTAGATTGACACGTATTGTATAAATTAGGGGTTGATTATTCAATTTAAGGATAGACAAGCACTCTCCAATTCATTGCTGAGCTACCTTATTATAATGTTATTGATTTGGATTGGATTGTTCAGTAGAACATTACGTTATTTAAGTTAATCATTCTGTGATAACAATATTATTTTGTCCCCTTCATTCAATACATTAAATGATAAGTTACGATCACTCATTTTTACAGCTATTTAATTTAACATATGCTATGCTGAGGAACCCTCTACTAGGATGAAACAGTTGCCCCGTGTTCCTTGTTTCTCAATGATTGTTTGGTTAAGGTCAGTCCATGATCCAAACGAATTTTAAATTGGATAGCTTCTCCAAATCTTCACTTCTAATTGAGTACAATTCTTTAATATAATTTACAAAACCTATTCTAGGTTGTATGCTCTTTCCGCGTCGAAAATTTCTATTTACTGACAGAGGAATTATGGAAATTATTAATAAGTTTGTATTGGAGTGAGATTAGTCAATTTCCAAAGATGTGTTGGTACACAAATAAAACGGTTTTTTGGAATTTTTAATTCAATCATAACGAACACAAACAAACTTGGGGTTTAAACTAACGAGGGTAGTTAAAGCATAAATAAGTAATATTTATAATAAAAAGTGCTGTTATAGAGAATTTTTCAATAAATAATAAACTAGAAACCTGTAGTAGTTCTTAGAATATAGCCATTTAAATGATTAAAAACCACAAAGGTAATAACTTAATCAATCAGGTCACAACTTATTGTTCATAACCCACTTTTACAACATTTTAAATCTTATGTATATTTTGATGATTTGTTGACTTTAACACTACCTTAGTCAGCTTCAGTGTTAACGGAAATCGGATGTATGATATTAAATCAACACTACTTCAAAAAAACCAATTTAATGATCCTGTTGAGAATATCAATCAAATTACCAGTAGCTCTTAAAGTATGCTAAACTCTCAGTTACCGATCCGCTCCTATTTTATTAATCACGACTAAATTCAGTTTCTATACCTTAATTTCGGAATGTTTACGGTGAAACAAAGGAAGCTACATGAAAAGTAACTCCGAGTGAGACATGAACAGCTCAAGAACTTGTACACGTAGCTAATATATTGATTAGAGGAATAACAAATACCACGCCAGGAATTTTTGTTAACTAATGAGTAGTATGTAACAAATTTTATTTATGGTTTGCTGGTGAGGCATATAAAATCACTTTTATTGCGATAGCAATAAAAACGGGGAGAATGGAAAGACAGCGGAATAGAACGAGATGATAAGAACTTATTTTTCAAAGAACTAATGTTCACCCTAAATACAGGTGTTATTTACAGTTTAAAAAGAACCCAATATAAACAGAAATGTGAAAAAAGACTAGGGAGTTGTAAATCAAAAACTTAACCTTTTCATTAAAATATTATATGACATGTTAGCACAGACTACCGTAAACATAACTACTTATGGGTCTGTGATACTTACCTGGTCACCTTTCACCAAGATATCAACGTTTAAATCCGAAGGAGAAGTATCTTGATATATTAAGCTTAAAGGAATACGATGACCGGTACCAACCCACTGTTTAGTTTGCCATCGTAGAAGAAAGAGGCCTGCGACTATATCACTTGCGACTAAGTCTACATCCTTTATGTGCAAGACATGGAAAAAAGATGAGATAAAAAATAAGAACGACATCAAACTTTCTGTTAACAAAAATCCAAAACTGTGTCATATGATCAAAAATACTTTTAAGAGTGAGTTTTAAGAAAATCATCCATACCGTCGACAGACAGTGACATCGCCAGAAGTTGGATTGATTGACAACAAGATGTTGTTACAAATTAAACCAGATAACAAAAGCGATAACATTACGAAATATAAATGTAAATCGTAAAAGTGAATAGGGACTGTAAAATAAAAAAATTATTAGTAAAACGACCGAAAATAAGATATAGATTAATCATGTAGTGAATTACGTAGTCGTAGTACTGATAATCTACCATCGTCAAAGAATTAAACATCATACACTAATTATCGTTAAAAGTTTAGCTCAAAATTTTCTCAGAGGTGCTAATAATTTAACTAAAAGAGACTTGATTGATAAACACATGGAGTGGTTAGTGGAGAATAACATCTCTATCACCATTCAAGAATTAGAGATAGATAACTGAGAAATTTGTGTACTTGATCAGTGTAGTTAGAATATAATGTACGTGTAGGTTATATAATGAATCCAAATTTATTATTATTAATGGCTTTATTCAATATTATATTTTGGTACAATATAGAACTCTCAGCACAGTACGATGACTTGCGCCAAATTTATGCATCGAATCTAACTAGGAGATATAGAATATAAAACTTAAAGCAATGCATGTACACTCTAGTCTGCGAATAAACGGTATTTGAGAATATTTCGTTTACAACTACCCTTGTAATAACTCTGTCACTGTGAATGTGATCACTAATATTCGTCTGTATTTATGCCTTGAATAAGCTGATTGGACGAGAAAACGAGACGTCAAAAATCCATTATTTTCATTTCACCTGGATTTCTCAAACAATTATCATCTCAAGTATAAGTGCATCCTCGTATGAGGTTTTGGATTACTACCTGTTGTCTATATATAGCCTTTACGGACGGAGAACTATAAGAGTACATTTAAATAGCATTTCGTCATAGACCCAATTAAAACTTTTCTTTTAGATGTGATTAGCAAAAAAAGGTTGTGTTAAAAAAGCTCCTTTATGTAGTTTTATGAAGATTTTAAAAGCATTTGAACACAACCACCACACACCCCCATCTTAATTTCTACGTGTGCACGCATCATGCAAAGCATGGGAAACAGTTATTATGTCGATAAGATTGCATTGATAGTCTATAACATAAAAAAGGAAATGTTCACAAATTTAAATGAACACATGATATACTTTGTATCAAAATGAGCCCTTTCAAATATTCGCTATTCATTTCTCAGGCATGAGAGATGAACAATGTCGATGGTTGAAGGACAGTTAAGGACATTGTCTAAAGTGATATGTTTTCGGTTTCTTGTCTTTTAGCGTGACCTTCATAAACGAAAAAAGTCTGTCCTGACTAACTGTTATCCGGCTAGTAGTACAAAGTAATATTGAAATTCCATTAGTTAATTTTCAGTTTAATCGTCAAAAAATGGAAAGACAATTGGAAATGAATGATTATGAAGAAAAAAGAACTTAGAGAACTGTTTTCAATTACTTGATGAGTTTGAACTTTATATCCCAATCAAAGAGAAAACAGCGCATGTCACGAAGACAGATTTGTTAGCACTTGTTTATAGGATATTCCTGAACAGAAAGAGGTAAGTATACGAGCGTTCAAGTGTTATTTGATACACAACATACACTCTGGTTATTGATAGAAAATAACGAACGCCTAAAGAAACCACAACGTCACAATCTAAGCAAATTCACTGTTTTTACATGAGAAATTACATTAAGACACGATTCCCATGGAAAACTAAGAGCTCAAACCAGTTAAGACAGTTACGAAATACGAAGCTAGTAAATTTTTATTTACTTTGCAATATTATGGTCTTTATGTTGTGAGCTAGTAGAAGTATTTGCCTTAGAAAGTCGACGATAAATAATTAGCTATGGGTAATAGTGGTGACAAAAACTAAAACTGCCTGATGAAACGAAAACAATACTTTATTTCTTTAAACTCTGCTAATGTCATTACTTTCCTGGTACAATAACAAGTAAATAACCTGAAACTCGTTGTCTCCAAATTTCAACACATGCGAGTTTCAAACGTACACGTATCAAATCCAGTGTAAAAATAGATATTCACGCAAAACAATCAATTTAAATAAATATGTTGATTGAGGTGTTTTACTATCCAGTTGTGAGTGTAAGTTGCCTTTTCATTTAAGCCAGAACTTACTTAGTTGAGAAGCAAAAATAACGTTAGAGAAATCAGTGTGTTGACTAATGTCTATGCTAATGGAAAAGTGAGGATTTAAAACTGAAGTTTAAAGGCATGTACGGACGTCAAATTGGGAGTATGTCTATTCATGGAGTGTTTCATCCGTCACTGTGATCGCATTCGAAAAATAGCGTTTCTAAGTTGAAAGTTCTTCATAAAGGACACTTTAATAATAATTTAGTTAGTGTTAAGCTAAACCTCCTGTTCCCAAGTCTAAATTCTAGTTAAAGTGAATTCTAATCGTATTTCAATGACTAGGCAACATGTGCTACATACATACCTGTCAAAGACAGTACATCAAAATAGGCCTTGTCTTACATGCTGATTCCGAGTAAAAATGGTTGAGGCACAACTAACCAAGTTGGTAGAAGAAAAAATACGTGAGAACGCTTAGTAATGCAAAATGTCTTCTTTCATTTTCGTATCACTATGGACAAAAAATTAGGTCCAAAACTTTATCCAGTACATAATGCCGTATCCCTGTCAGCCGTATCTAACGCTAATAATAGCAAGGGAATATACTTTAAAATTGGCCATGTTTTAGTCTGATATATATGTACCCTTTTGACTATGGTATATCATTTTTAAAGCTTCTATTTTCTGTTCATAGTCGGTGAATTTTCTTGTTGCTAATGAAAGAAAAAAACCACCTCAATCCATTTTTTCAAACTAAACGTATAGATATAGTATTGCTCAATCACTACATCTTCTTGAATCTTGTCATCAATTATATTTTGAAAACAAAACTGAGGAAAATGAGTGGAAACAGTGTAAATCTGTTACATGGTGTAATATTTTCCAACCTTCAGTATGCAGATTATATCGTCTTAATTACAAAATAGACAAATCTCAATCAGTTGAATAGTTTTGACAATTATGCTATGAGCCTTGGGCTGACGAAACGCAAAGGACTCGCTGTCATAGAAATTTCAAGTGCCTTTCTATTATAGACAATTTTTTACGACGACTGCTTAACTGTAGTCGACAACTGTGGAAACTGTAAACAGTTCGACGGTACGTTGTACGTCAGACTTTACCAAGCCCCAATATATGCCTATATTTTCCTGTTTATCACATATAAACAACAATTTAAGTATAGATGTTAACCGTAATCAGAGAAACGACAACCCGTCGTTAAATCTTCACATTTCTATATGCATTTATATTAGCATAATTTTTCCAAAAAAAATGCTTGTTTCTAGTTAGAAACTAGAAAAGACTCATCTGATTTAAGCCATATTTGAACATGTAATTGGGTGTATTACGTATGGAAATACAAACAGAAACAGTACTTTTTCATAACACATCAACGTAGAGATAATATCTGTGTCATTTCATCTGCCAAAGACTCAAAACCATACATCAGATTTTTAAAAATGTGAGCAAATTTAAAAGTACACGAAATTCACAAGAACTCTGCACATACGTAAAATATATCTGAAAACAAAGCCGCTGCGGAAGTGATTATTGTTTTATCAGTTTGCATTGTCGACCGATCAGTTTTACAAAAAGGTAAGCGACGAAAGGCCCGTAAACATTCCAACTTCCGTTGAACAGCCTTTCTTCGCTTAAGCATCACTAACTGCTTCGTGGAAAGATTAACATTTGGATTCAGACAACCCTGCTTGAATACAGTAGGGTCGTTAGTCAATCGGCTCCAAAAGGCACCAGCCTTACGATAGTGTAACATTAGAAAAAAGTAGAAACCAATCACATGAGCTACCGCAATGGCGTTCCCTGCTATATAGCAATCAACAACCTGAAATTAGATGTATGAGTAAAAATATTTCGAAAGTTTACAAACAATTAAATAAACGGAATTTCTTTACAATATAGTAGGAGTACAATACCAAGGATTACTTTTCCTATCAATATGGACAAGTTAAATCCATACTACTTAAAAAAAAAACAGAATCAAAACTCATATATCTAAAATACCTCATGGAATTACATTTAAAACCCTCCGAAAACGATCGTTACTTAACACAATATATGTTTACATCGTTGTATTGTTTTATCAACCTGGCTATCTAAATTACGATAATGCAAAAATCGAGGGTCACAAAGTGGAAGGTCCTCTAAATCTGAGTAGACAGTGACAAAATAAGAAAATTAAGGGAAATGTATAAAGCTCAAACTGGAAAACCCATCAAGCACGTATAGAGTTTTCATCATGTATCCAACGCTAGTTAGTTTTTTTAATAAAGAATTACCTCTCAATGGTTGTCTGAGAGTTGAATGTTAGTGAGAACTGTTGGTTTATACACTATCTATGCACTAAGTCAAAGAAAATGTGAACTAAGTGTGATAATAAGGTAAGATATAGTTTTGAAGCTCCGGAATCGATTGTATACAAACATTATGTTAAGATAAGGATGGAGGACTTTTTATTGAAAAGTAACACCAGTTAAATAGACATATTTCCTCTCACTTTTAAAGGTTTTTACAAGTAATAACAACAGACACTAAGACAGTATTTTGGGACGAAAATAGGAAAATAGTTAACGTTAACTTACCTAACAATCTAATCTACCTGTAATTTATTTTTGAATACTGCCCTAAACGATTTGAAGAGGAAAGCTAAACGAGATATATGGGTTAAAATTAAAGGGATTCAAGGACTCAAAACTCATGATAATACAGTTGAATCAATCTAATGTTGGGACATCTTGATAACCGAACTTATTTCCCAAATGCCCTGGTATGGCCGAGAACGGGGTGGGCCCACCACCCCTCACGAAATGTTCTAACACGGCCACGCGTATACAGCCTCTGCAAGGGAAGTCCGACTCACTACCTTCTCGTGGCGGGGGTGTTGTTTACGAAAATGAGAGGACGAAAAGCGAATGTTCGGCGATTCAACTAAATTCCAAATCAATGGTGCACATGGGTTTCAGTATCCTGAGGGAACAAATGGCGTATGAACCAATCGTTGGTGACTGGCTACCATGGGACTGCATCTCCTCACGATGCTCCACTGCCTTGTGGGTTAGACCTTTAGGTCGAAGGCTTCGAGTGTGGCCTCCTAGGATAACCACCTGCTTCGGTCTGGGCACCCGGGCAGTATCACAGCCCACATACAAATAAAATGAAAATGACGATATTTACTGAGAATTCTATTCACGCTTCGATTAACAGTCAAACAATTCACATTATTATTATTTACCACGTCACTTATTCACTCTCTTATATTCCCACTCTATGGTGGAAACGCGGTTCTATCTAAACGTTCTCGAGTCACTGTCCGGTTGAAAATTGTATGCTACCACAAAATACGAATACTGAAGCAGTTTTTCTGAAACCACGTGCACCATTCAAACTGGCTGCCTTCAACGTTCGCACACTTATGCAGGTCGGACAACAGATAGGGCTGGCTATGTCTTTGGAAAGTCTTCATATCGATGTTTGCTGTCTATCCGAGACCCGTATTCAAGACTCTGGTGAAGTACTACAAATTCGATCTCCATCTGTCGATTCAAAAAGCTTGTTTTACGTGCGCTTATCCGGGGACCCTGTGGCATCTTCGTCTGGTCTTGCTGGCGTTGGTGGCGCACTAAGCGCTAGAGCTGAGGCAGCACTAATCGATTGGATCCCCATTAACAGTCGGTTATGTGCTATTAGATTAGAGAGTTCCATCAAAGGGAGAAGAAATCGGCGTGAGAAACGATGTCTTTTCGTCATCTCCGCCTATGCCCTGACAGATTGCAGCCCGGATGCAATCAAGGATGAGTTTTACCACCAGTTATCTGTTCTTCTCCAGAAAGTGTGTTCGACAGATATTGTAGTCCTAGCCGGAGACTTGAATGCTCAGGTCGGGCGTCTAGGCACAGAAGAGAGTCGTTTAGGTGGCCGATGGGGACTTGTTGGTCGCAGGACAGATAACGGAGACCATCTACTGCAACTATGCACAGACCACAACCTGTTTCTGGCTAGCACTAACTTCCGGCACAGTCATCGCCGATGTGCCACCTGGCGTCTTCCCTCTGCATCTCAAGCCTGGACTCAGACTGATCACATCGCGATCAGCTACCGCTGGTGTGGTTGTGTACAAGACCGCCGCTCCTTTTAGAGTACCTATCTGGACTCTGATCATGCCTTGGTCTGCGCCAAGGTAAGAACCTTACTTTTCAGTGGCCAACAAAGTGACCGCCACCAACGGATTGATGTTAGCAAGCGGGTTGCAACTTCTGTTGCAAGTAAGTATCGAACCCAGCTAGCTTCTAGGCTAGCTAACATTCTACCGAAAAGTATAGATGAGTATTGGTTGCAACTTCACGACGCCATCAAAATGTAGAATAAAGCCGCTTGCGGCTTCGCAAAAGGTCCCGCTTATAAGCACTTGTTTTCTTTTGGTTCCTTACAACTCATCGAAGCCCGTCGGTCTACTCCGGATGACCGTGAGTTTGGCCACAAACCCGAGAAAAATTGACTCGCGAGGAGCAGGCTGGGTTTCGTTCTGGTCGAGGATGTATTGATCATATCTTCACCCACCACCAAATGCTAGAACACCGCCATACTTATCAAAGGCCAACAATCGTAGTGTTTCTTGACATTAGGGCTGCCTTTGATTAGTTGGACAGGACTGTTCTCTGGGATTGTTTATTGAAGAAGGGTGTGCCTGAGAAATTTATTAACATCTTAAAAACCCTATATACAAACACCTCAAGCAGAGTGAGAGCATACAACCACCTTTCTCCATTGTTCCATCCAAGCAGTGGGGTTAGACAGGGTTGCCCAATCTCACCATTCCTCTTCAACTTTGCCATCGATGACATTCTGGAAACAGCTCTGATGAATGTTAGTAATGGTGGTGTGGATCTGTTGCCTGGAGAAAGACTTCTCGACCTCGAGAAGTTCGTGTATCTAGGTAGCTGCATAAGTGCTGGTGGGGGTGTGAGTGATGAGATCAATGCACGTATAGTGAAAGCCAGAGCGGCTTATGCCAATCTGGGCCATCTTTGGCGCTTTCGTGATGTCAGTCTGGCTGTAAAAGGTCGGATATACAATAGCGTCAGTTAGACGACTGTGTTCGAACATCGTTGTCTCCGAAAGATTACGGACATCCAGTGTCAACACCATGTTAGTAATGCAGAGGTTCGGCATTGTGTGTTCAGGCGTAGAGACGATAATGCAATTGGTGTCACCATCTTGAAACACCGACTTCGGTGGCTTGGACAAGTCCTACGAATGTCGTCCCAGAGAATTCCACGTCGTGCATCACTTGCCGACGCTGGGACTGGTTGGAAAAAGCGGAGAGGTGGTCAGTGTATGACATCGTGTCGAGGTGTGAAAAAAAGCTGTTGGTCCTTCACGACTCCTTGGGTGGGGTCCGAGAGATGGTGCAACATAGTGGCTAGAGACGTTATCAGATATGGCTCAGAATAGAAGCCAGTGGCGATCCTGTTGTAACCTTCTTTTACTTTTTTCATAAAAAAATGGTTGTTTCTTCCTTAACTGAAAGATTTCATCTGATTGTACCTTTCCGTTTCCCCCATTATTACTATTATTATTATTTTTATTACTATTACAGTACCTTACACTAATCTGTTCGTTATTGTTCTTTTTTACGCTCCTTACCTTCTTTCTTTCTTCGAATTCTGATTTTTTTGTGTGGCACATATATATTTGGTTCCCTCTTGTACCAATATTTATGTGTTCAAATAAATAAATAAATCCTAGAGCCTTGTATGACAACAAATAGTGAGTCAATATAATAAAAGACGTTGTAAAGACCAAAAGATATTTTTACTCAGACACTGTTTAGGTCTCTCGGAAACATAAAGAACAGAACTTATTGCTCCAATATCCTCTGGTTTCGGCAATAAGATCTTAAAAACACGAAATTAGAAATATTCCTCAGAAAGGTAAATGGTCATTTCTAAGTAGTTTACCCAAGAGTCATGCGGCTGTGCCATCAGGTATGTAGGACTACCAGTAAGAGTTCTTTCTAGCCTCATTAGGAAAAGCTTTCTAAGATATGCGTATCGACATCCACTTCAAACATTCAGAAGCAGTCGACTGTAATTCAAATTCTCACTGCACATTAACAAACTGTATGGACGAACATCTGATTCAAAAATCTTAGTGAAGTTGAGGCGATAATTTGACCGGAAACAAAGAGAATAGTAGAACTTAAGAGATTAATCCCACAGATTTTTAGGAACAATGGTAAGCTTAACTAGTTAAACTTTTGTTATTCGCAAACATACTTCCTGAAGTATGGTTTTAGTAATTTTCTGCTATCTAGTGACAAAAACTGATAGTATTGACCACATTTTATGGCTAAGTTTACCCGTCTTTTAGAAACCATAGTATTGAGAATGTGGAAATTATCTCTAAAACGAAAAACGCCATTTTAAAACTGATCTGTAGTGATAGGAAGTCTAACAAAAGTAGAATAGTTGAAAACATCGATTTAGTGAGTATAGCTCTTGATCAAATTTGCAAGCTTAGCTGAGCTTCAAGTATATTGACGTCTGCAATTGGGTAGTACTAACACCACCTACAACCTAAAGAGTGGCTTAAATCTAAGTGCATGAACACATATATCATCAGGGAAAGAGATGTTTGTTTATTTACCGTATAGTCCTCTATATCCCACACTACACCTAAGAAATACAAACTCTTGATAGCAAGCAGATGCATAGTCTGCAAAAACTTGATCATAAATGAATTTGAAGTATTGGTCATGCATGATCCTAGGTGTAAATTACTAAGTAAAGGAGGTAATTCAGTGGACGAAATTCTAAACATATGTCCACGGTGATTACAACACGTGTTGGGAAAACTTGGTCATTAGTAACCAAAGCATGTCATAAGCTGGTTTGTGTAGAAGTAGGTTAGAAAGAGGTTATGAACTGTCAGTAAAAGACATATCATTTATTTTGGAGTTGATGTCACCGTCGCAATCAGTGTACGAAGAATTTGTGTTTCAGAAGGTCAAATACATTCAATAATAGTAAATTTCGATACTGTATAGGATGAATGCGCAAATACTTTCCATTCTCTTGTTCATCTTTTAATATTCTAATATGTGAACTTTGAAAGTGGACTAATTCACATTCGAGCAGGCAGCAAGTCTAGCTATACTAATAAACTGATTGCGATCACCATTTTTTAGCACATCACAGATTTAGACTGTGGACAGAATGTGAATAAGGTTAAAAATTTATTTTGGGGTACATATTAGGCTCTAGAAGAATTATATCATAAGGTCATACTGAAGAGTGTTCGTCCAAAATAGTTTGATTTTACTCATAACAGTTCACAGAGTCTGAAAACTTCTATAACACAGAATAACTGAATAAATTAACGACTCGCGCATTTTCAAGTGACTGCGATTGGATTAGTTGTTTGAGATCAAAAAACTTTCTAAGGACAGTTTTTTATTTACTAAAATCATAAGTATTGGTAGAAAAGAGAATCAAAATGAATATGTGCCACACGAATAAGACAATGAAATTTTGAAGAGATGTACAGAGCAGGAGTATAGTTAGAATAAATCAATGAAAACGAAAATATAAGTATACAAGAACTATTTACGACAATTCTGCTGAGCAAAACACAACCAGATTGAATTCTTTCATTTAAGTATCTCACAATCATGGAAAATATGAAAAAAGACTGATGCAGGATAGCCACTGGTTTCCATTCTTAGTCAATAATAGTCTAATAAAATCTCAAAATAATGAATTACACTCTCTCTCGGACCCCAGCAAGGGAGTCATGATGGGACATGAATTAGGTATGACTATCCACCGACTATCTCGAAGTGCGATGGTAGCCAATGTACGAGCAAGTTGGGAAAAAGCTAGGAGCGGCTATGTTAAGACATCGCATCGGCTCATGAAGACAATAACTGTCGAGATGAGTCATGTGGGTAGGTGCAGACTCTCTGGCAAGGGTTCGCGTGATTATCGTAACCGATAGTTAAAGACTTTGGACGACAACTCAAAATCGTTTGCAATAGTATAGGTGCATTCACTCTTTGTTTTCCATTATATTCTGAATTCTTCATGTCATCTATTGCAATGTTTTATTCCCTGAATCATTGAGGTATGTGTCTACATAGTTTTTAAGATCTGCATAAGCATCCCGGGCACACCCTTCTTCAGTAGACATTCACAGAGCACAACAATGCCCAACAAAAAGTACACAATGATTGTAAACCTGCAAGAGATATAGCGGCACTCTGAAATTTTGCGAAGGGTGAAAATATAACCTGACAGAATGGAAAACAGAATGCTCCTTGCGAGTCGGTTCTCAGAAGTTTTGTACAGTCTGAAAAGTATTACAGAAGCTAATAGTTTGGACGCAGCCAGAAGTAGATTTGTTGCCCTATAGTTGTTGTACACATTATGCAGGGTGTAACGCTGTAGGTTTTTTTTCATTATAAAAGTGAAAAACATTCGTTTAGCTGAAAGAATTTTTCCTGGTGGTATTATTATTGTCCCAATAGTATGAATCTAGTCATTCGGAAGACAACAATGGGCCCTATGGGGACAGACAATCAAGAAACTATTGTAGAACTTATTTGAGGAGTTATTTGATTGACAAACTAAGACAACATAAGGAAATATAAGTTTTGCAATCAATTACATACTATAATGGTGAGTTTCCAAATAACTACTATGTTAGGGCTAACCACATGTCATTAGCACATAAAATAAGCTCAGTTAACTTCGTTTTAGGGATATTTGCCGAAGAAATAATTAAGCAAACGCCCACTGAGATGACCTTAATTTGAAGATATCTTGTGTCTACCTCATTGAGAAAATGGGTTTTAAATGGTGGCACGTGGGATAAAATAGGCCGTTAAAACTTTTAGTTTGTATATTTGTATTTTTTAGGTCAGTATAAATACAAATTTAATTAACAAACCAACCAAGGGCCCTTTGCATTGATCACTAGAGGCACGAAGAAAAAATGCAAAGATAATCTTGTTTTCGCAAACTAACAGTAACATATTATTGATATTGGCATTAAATTCAAGCCACACAGTATGAACACATCATCCGGGACTCACCTGTTTTTCACACAACGTGTATTTATTAACAACTAAATACAAGTTAACACAATGCAGGACTGACGATACAATGGAAAATATGCTAACTGCCCCGAGGAAAAAAGGGACAGGTGAACGCAAACTGGTTTCCATCACTCCACCCTTGCTGCTTGAAAATGATAGTGCTGCGTCAAAAAACAGTAAAGCTCCCATTATAAGAAACAGAAGCACACAGAAAATCTGCACAGAAAATTAATATAGATCAATATATATACCTTGTCTATTACATTTGGAAGACAAACAGTTGGATCGTTGGCTATCGTGAGCGGCATAACCATGATGAAAACGCTATGTGAATCAACTATCAGACAGGACACTTACCACAAGATCCTCAATAAAAAGTTAACAATACCAGTACAAACAAAGTCGTCGGACGCGAAAGCCCACGTCCTACCCAAGAAAGTCAACGCAGGCATGTCGAAAAAAATATGCAGGATTTTCTAGATCACTTGTAAAGAAATGAAGTGATTAATGTGACATGGTGACTAGTAACATAACGGAATTACGGTCCTAAGACAGGTGACCTAGACGAATCAAAGATTCCGCTCATTTGCAATAGTTTCAAATGGTTCAAATGGTTCAAATGGATGTGGACGGAATAGAAGAAGCTTTCGCTTAACAGGCTTCCGTGTCTAGTAGCAGGGGATCACCAAATCCTCCAGGCAAGAACCTAGGTATGTTAACAATAAAAAAGGAAAAGAAATTGGTAAATCATAATGTGATGCTGTCCTTGGTCCTTAAGAATAGGTCAAGTTGCCTCTTGAAGGACTCCTGAGAAGTCGTTTGGACTAGCTCGGCCGGCAGCGAATTCCAGCTTTTGACAACTCTTAAGGAGTAGAAGTTGTGTCTACATTCCGTCTTGCTATGTTGTGTTTCCAGTTTCTGGGTGTTACCCCTTAGGTTATTATTCGAACTAAGCTTAAGTAAGTGTTTAAGAGGATGTCCAGAAGTGTTAAGAATACTATAACCCATTAGTAAATCACCTCTAAGACGCCTATATTCTAGTGGGTAAAGGTCTAGTGAACGGAGGCGTTCTTCGTAAGGCTTAGATTTGAGTTCTCGAACTGATTTCGTGGCTCGCCGTTGGATACGCTCCAAAGTGACCATGTCCTTTTGGAGTGAGGGGAGGAGTACTATGTTTCCGTACTCTAAATGGGGACGGATGAAACTATTGAAGATTGTATGGAAAGTTCGTCCGTCAAACTGTCCAAAAATGCGCTTCAACGTTACCAGTGCAAGGTTTGCTCGGAAGGCATTTTTGTCACAGTTAGCGTAAGACTTTAAATCGTAGGGCACCAGAACTCCTAAATCTTTTTCGACTTGGGATACTACTAGAGAGGAGTTTCCTAAGTTGTAACTGCAGTCTGCGACATGTCGCAGATGGACTACTTTACACTTTGAAGTGTTAGTTAGTTATCGTCTGCCCAACTTTCCAGTCGCGTCAGATCCTCCTGAAGTGCCTGTGTATCGTCTTGGTTGCGTATCTCTCTCCAAAGTTTCACGTCGTCGGCAAAAAGTAATAATTCTGACGTTACCTGTTGAGGGAGATCATTTATGTAGATCAAGAAGAGAAGAGGCCCTTGTACTGAGCCATGAGGGAACTCACTAAGACATTCCATAGCCTCAGGTAAAGTGAAATTAACCCCAACCCTAAAGTGTCGATTTTTTAGGTATGAAGTAGGCCAATCGATTAGAGGTGGTTTGATACCTAGTTGTTTGAGCTTATTGATAAGACATGTATGGATAACCTTATCAAAAGCTTTTGAGAAATCAAGGTAAATGATATCAACCTTTCCCTTGCGATCGAGGATGCTTGTCCATTTGTCCACCGCAGTCAGCAGGTTGGTTATACAAGAGTAACCCTTCCTGAAACCATGCTGTTGGGGTGAGAAGAAATTTGAGGACAGTAGATAGTCGTTTAAACCGTCGCATATCAGGGACTCCATGAGTTTTGAAGGTAATGACAGAAGAGCCGCCGGCCGATAACTTGAAGGTTCATTGCGTCGACCGCCTTTGAAAATTGGTGTGATGTTAGCCAACTTCCAATCTTCCGGTAATTTGCCTCGGCTTAGCGAGTGTGAAAACATCACGCTAAGCGGCGTTGCCAGGTTTGAGGCTGCCTTCCTCAGTATGGCAGGATGAACCATATCCGGGCCAGGAGAAGTGTCAAGTCTTAAGTGCTGCAATTTCCGGAACACCAAGTCAGCTCTGATGTTCACTTCGGAAAGTCCTGTGGAGTTGGAGATGAAACTGTCGTCAATAAAGTTGATGTCAGCCGGTTGAAATGTTTGAGAGTAATGGGCTGCCAGAAGGTTAGCGGCGTCGCCATCGTTGTTGGTCGGGCCGTTAAGACCTAGCAGTTGAGAAACTCCTGTTTTGGCTTGACGAAGAGAGGCTGCATAACGGAATAGGCTTCTAGGGTTAGAAGCGAATTTGTCCATAAGCTTTGTTTGGTACTGAAGTCTGTCTTCTCTTATAGCCTTCGTGCATGTGTTCCTGATATGTTTGTATTGCCTATACGCTCCATCGTTATTAGTTCGTTTGTATTCCGCCCAACAGTGCCGTTTGCGGCTTAGCAGGCGAAGGGTACGGTTCTTGATTACTGTAGGTGGCTTGAAGCTTTTGGGAACCGTTTGAGGAACTGAATGGTCTGTAGCACATAAGAGCGTGTGCAGTAAGAAGTCCCAATGACCATCCACATCGATTTGAGGGTGAACATCCCAAACCACCTGTTGTAGATAGTCATGTAGAGCTGGCACATTCAGCCGTTTAAAATTCCAACGCAAATTGTTGTTGGGATACCTTAGCTTAGTTTTGATGACAAAACTAAAGGCTATGACGGCATGATCGCTTTTTCCCAGGGGAGCCGGGATTGAGAGGTTGTCGACTAGGAATTCTTCGTTAGTGAATACACAGTCTAAGCGCGATGGTGTCTGACTGTTTCTCCAACGAGTTGCCGACCTCACATTTTCGTACAATCCCAAGTCATCGATGAGGTTTAAGAACCGAGCTTTAATTGAGTTGTCGCCCCCAGTATACGTGTGTTCCGTGAAGTAAACTCTGTGGAGATTAAAGTCCCCTAGAATCAGGATGTGTATGAAACCGAGACGAGTAGAGCGGGATAGTCCTTCCGGCATACGACTATCGTACTCGATGTCGGCAGTTGGCTTCCTGTAAATGACTCCGACTAGACACCTCGAGGTATTTGACAATCTTACAGAGCACCATATGGATTCCTCAAGATTGTTAAACTCGAGGTTGTGAACCTGGTGCACCTCCAAGCAAGAGCTTATGTATATGGCTACTCCGCCCCCAATTCCTGTTTTTCTGTCGTTGCGGAACAAAGTCATCCCAGGCAATGCTAACTCTTGGTCCGAGAACTGAGAAGATATCCAGGTTTCAGATATTCCTATCAGATGGGCCTTATTAGCATTGCTAAGTTCACGTAGTTCATCCAGTTTGTTTGGTAGACTCGCGGCGTTCATATATAAGCAGTTTATGCTTTCAATTTGGAACGCGTGAGCTTCGTCCTGTTTTTCTGTATGAACCTTATGTGAATGGACAGGTAGCCCACTTATGTGAGGTTTGCCGAGGTGGTAGGCCCTGTCCTTTACACGTTTTTTTTATCGTTTAGACAGTCCACAAGTGGAATGGTCAGCTCCAACTTGCCTTTGTTCTTAGTCCTAACTTCGTATGGCCTATCCGGGTGCTGATGAGACATGTATGATTGCACCTATCAAAAACTTCTGAGAGATCATTATATATCACATCCACATTCACCCTGTGATCAGAGATGGTTTTCCATCTGTCCGAAGCAGTCGAGAAAAAAGTTTATCAATCACGAGCAGTCTCGTAAAGCTTAGAATATCAAAGACTCCATTACCTTTTAGGACACTGAATGAAGTGCTACTGACCGGTAGCTTAAGGTTCATCGCATTCGCTCTCTTTAAAGTTGGCGTGATATGTGCCAGCTTTTAATTACCTGGGAGTGCGTCACCACTTAATGATTATTGGATAATTTCTTCTAGGGGTGCTGCCAGGACTGAAAGCGCCTTTGTCATTATAACGGAGCAAACCACGTGAAGTGTCAAAATATAGACACTGTAGTTTTAATAACAATGACGATATATTCTCAAATAACGATATGTTACATGAGGCAGGCCAGTTCATAGTCAGGACAATTTTGTTACAAACGGTATAGAATTCATTATAATGAGTTATTCAGTTGGGCTGATATGCCATAAGACAGATTGATCATAGAAACAAGGGAGCAAACTTTGTAAATTATATACTGGGTATTTAATATAATAGTTGTCACGCTGTGAAGAGCAACTCGTAGTCGAGAATGAATTCAACTAAATTTCAGAGCTGTTTACAACGACAAATAATGCAGTAAATGCATAAAGTCAGTTAAAAACGTCAACTTTAATGTACTTTTTGTTTTCCAATTGTGTTCTCAGATAACTACCGTAGGCTTCAATCAAGAATCAGAACGGATTCATATGTTCCGTACATGTGTTTTTGGTGGTATGCCACAAGGCTGCTAAGAAAGGAGTAACAAGAAGAGTAAAAAGTAGAACATACAGTCTTCGTGACTGATAAAGCTGAGTCATTTGTCATGAAATGATTAAGAGGTGAATATTTAGACTTATTTTCTTTTATTAGGTCGTCCTTTAAACAGGTTTGTTTCAAGAATTTAAAAGAAAATAGACCAAAGAATGGCCCTAAATGGTCAAAAGTCTGTACAGACAGACAGGCATTAAAAGAGCTGAAAGTTTTAATTCATGTGTATCTTTAAAAGATAATAAGAACAGCAGTGTTTGAATACACAAATGGCTATTTTTGTTGAAATTATCATAACTCGTTTCTATTATTATAATTTTTATAGAGAAATGAGTTGACTTGCTTGTCCATTTTGCTAAAAGTAGGATTTCTCAGTAAGGAGTGAAACCAATCAAGTTTATAAACATGGGTCAAATGGGTATTTCCCATAGGGAATTGGCATCAGTATCATTGGTTATTGACATCCCGCTTGACCACAATGAGCCGTAATTAAGCAAAATGTTCTGCCCTGCAGATGTTAGTAGATTGAGGTTATCTTAGATATTATGAGCTACTTTCAGTCGGCCATGGTTGAGCAGCACGTATGGGGTTAGTGAGTTTTCTGAAGTAGAAAGTGAAAAAAGGACGTGAGACTTCGAGGAAAAGTCATGAGATTTTAAACAAACGCGAAACCCCTAAACTGGTTTGAGGGCACGACTAGTGTTCTATCATTCCGCTATCCATGAATGAATGTCAATGATGGTTTCATAAAAAGTGTTTCACGGGTGGGTGGGAGTTCTGGGAATAGTTGGTGAAGCTCTTTATGGCCTAAAAATAGGGTAATTAGTCTTTCGGACATAGCGATAACATCATAGTTGTGGGTACGTATTATTATTATTATTATTAATGGCTTTATTCAATATTATATTTTGGTGCAGTATAGAATTCTCAGCACAGGGTATTTCAACAAGTTACTTACTGAACAACA